TATTTCTTTTTAAAATTCCACCTCCCAAAAAGCAAATGATTCAGTCTGATACAGAAATTATACCATTTGTATTGAGATTCTCCTACAATAAAGAGATAAGAAAATCAAAGAATGATCTAATATTTACAGGTCAAACAGCTATTACAGCTTGCCAAATTACATGCATGCCCTGAGTCATACTTTTGATAAAATGTTGAGCAGCCTCTTCTGGTCTGTCTTGAACTCTGCTAAACCTACGCTCACTGACACTAAGCAAGGATTAAGCTAGGATTGATTCAGATGGAAACACAGTAAAGACAGCTCATTATACTCCCAAAAATGAAAGAGGGGCTGAACATTTACCAAAAAATCTAACACCTTTCAATCCCCCTCTCCTTGCATAACTGTGCAAAAAATGCTCTTCTTCTAGAAGGTGGCTAAAGAAAATCTTGCAGCATCAACCCAACCAGATTCCAAAAACCGGTCCCCAGGCAGCTGTAGAAACAAAGGAAGGAAATAAGAGTCTAGAAGCTGTATCTTGCTGAAATCTGCATGCAGCTCTGACCGAGACTAAGAGCCAAAGCTGTAGTAAGGAGCACTAGAACAAAACAATTCCAAAGGCAGTTTGTCCTGCAGATGTGGAGAGAAGGATAAAAAAAAAGCTGAGCCTAGAAAAGTTGGATGGTGACGTGCCCAGGAATTTACCTTTGAGCACCAGGGATTTCAGGTGCTTCAGATGAGGAAGGATGCTCAGCGTGGTGCCAAGGAGGCAATCGTTGCTGCTGAGCCGGAGGAACTCCACCTGGACCACCTCTCCCCGTCGCCCCTCGAACAGCTGGAGGAACCGACAGCAGCCGTCAAGATAAACATCCAGGTTCAGCCTGTTGTCTGCAAGGCAGGAGCCAGCGAGCGAAGGAGCCCCCAAAGCCCCCTCCCCACACTTGTCCCCAAGCCCCAGCAGCTCTGCCATCTTCTGCGTCTCGTTCACGGGGTCCGGACATGCTCTGACTTGCCAGGCAGGCAGGCACCGGCAGCACCACGAGGCAGCCGGGACAAGGAGGAGGAGGAAAGATGGCTCTGAAAGAGAACACAAGTGCACAATGAAGGCCTCCTGCCCCAGCCCAGAGTGGCTGGAAACAGTTTATAATCACAGCAAGATGGCAGGAGGGATTACACGTGTGTTACTGAAAGCTTTGTGGGCAGAGAGCACAGAAATGCAGGGTGACAGATGCCATGGAGGCTTCTCCTCCTAGGGAAAACCTCTGAGTTTTCCCAGCCGACATCTTGGCAGGGAATGGAGCAATTATCCACCATGAGAATAAATAGTAATATTAACGTTAGAAGATATAAATGTAAATGCCTATGCCTTATGCAGATTTCAAAGTGCCTTAGCAGGAAGCTTTACAAGTGGAGGGGGAAACTGGGGCAGGGAGAGCTGAGCCAGGAGCAGAGCCCAGAGGCTGCTCACAGGCTGTGACAGGTCCTCATCAAACCCGGTTGTGAAACCGGGTGCCAACGGGATAAAAGTGAGCGTAGCAAAGGGCAAAGGGCAGCAGAGCAAACATGGGAGGGCCAGGAAGGGGGCTAGAAAAGGCATGTCTGTGGCACAGGAGCACTGGACTGCGCAGTGGGACTGGGGCTCTTGCAGATTTGCCTCCACAGGGATGCTCTAATGCAGCAAACCAAGCACGAAGCCATGGCCGGCTAGTTACCAGCTAGTCCTTGTTTCCTGCCCTCACAGCACCCTCCACGGATAGAGAGAGAGGGGAAAAGTAGATATCACATAGTGCATGCTAAGAAGGATTTACACCTAAAGGAGCAGAGGTATGAAATTTGAACAAATTAATTATTCCTCCACCTTCTTAGTGTGAAGAAGCCTTCATCCACCTAGGACTTTCAAAATCAGCCACTATCATCATAGCACACTGGTAGTGCAAAGATAAGCAGAGGCACCACGCTTGTTTTTATACCAGTAGTCACATACTTCCAAGTCCCCCATTTCCTGCTCTTTCCACTTCCTTTATCTTTTGCAACCTCCTGAGCTTGGCAATAAAACTAGCTTATAGTTTGAATATCAGGAGTTCTTTTTAAACCCTGCCATAGATCTAATAGGGGAATAGAAATTTCTTTTGAGTGAGTGATGCAGAACTACAAAAAACTTGTAACAGCTTTAATGTCCAAGGCCAGCAGAAGCAAGCTGATGCCCCTGCAACATCCTGAGGAGCAGTGTTTTTCACTGTTAACCTGTGGAACATGGCAGCACTGATGTTCCCAAGGCACAGTCTGGGGGGAAGCATCACACCCAGCTCCCTGAAAGAGCAGAAACCTTACGGACACATAAGTACAGGAAGAACAGGTAAATGGAAACTATTGCTTTAGTAAAAAGGTATTTCTTACAAAAAGGCTGTACACAACACATACACAGCTTTCTTACAGATGTGCGTAAGCAAAAAGATCATCTGCTATAGCTTTGTAGAGCTATTGATGGTGAAGGAACCAGAGGGCAGCTCTGAACTGGCCAGGCTAGAGAGGCTCGGAGACCACAAACGCAGCCACAGGCGTACAGGACATGAGCAGGTATGTGCACACGTGCACATACACACACATGTGCACATACACACACACTCGCCCAGGACTGCCCTCACCTGTGCTGCCGCCAGCTCCGGCAGCCCCAGGCCCCCATTACCCCATACCCCACAGGGCCCCTGAGCTCAGCCCCCGGGGACCCCCCCCGGCAGGACCTACAGCCAAGCAACCAGGCCACACGAACTGCACCCCGCTGAGCACGGCCACGCTTGTCTCACCCCCTCCGCACCCGGTCCCTGGCATACAAAACCTGGGTCCCGAAAGCCCGGCCGTGCTCGGTTCGGCTCGGCTCAGCCCGGCACAGCGTGGCTCAGCTCAGGCACTTCCTGCAAAGTTTGCCGGCGAGCTGCGCTGCCGGGGCGGGACGAGCCGGAGGAGGTGCCAGATGCAGCAGGACAACGGGCAGGCGGCTCTGGGGAACCACGCCCAGGCGTCCTGCTGTCACAAAAGTGTCATAAAATGAGATTTTCCTAACACCGCCACAGCCTCGGCACCCCAGCCGGTCCTGGTGCGGCTCCCCTGGGCTCAAACATGAGCTCAGCCTGCAGGGAACGGGAGGCACGGGCAGCTCCTGGTGGTGTGCTCATTTGCTGCAAACTCAGGGAGAGAAACGTAGCGGGAGCTGGGGCTGCAAGCCCAGAAGGCCACAGGGCTAGGTGCTGCGGAGCCAGCCCTCAGTCCGCCCAGAGCCATGCGGCTCTGCCACGGCTGGGCCTTTGCTGCCCCGTGCGCTCCAGAGGGGCGCCTGCCTTCAGCTAGCTGTCTCGCAGCGAGAGATGCCATTTGGTCCAACACCGCATCCTGGCAAGGCCCCACAGCATTTGTGCTGCTCTCCATTTCGTTCAGAGGGGCAAAGCTGGGTTTTTCTGTAACGGCGAGTTTCCAGCTGGTGCCTTGATGCTGTGACATGGCAGTGCTGCTGCGTTAATGCCCTGGGAGAAGCGCCCCTTGCTCAAAGCTGAACACAAGCTGCACAGTGCCCTGAGGGAAATTTCTCATCCCACAGGGAGTGAACAGTAACTGCTGACTGCTTCTCTGAAGCACTTCCACAGTTATAAAACTGCGAGCCCAGTTGTTTTCTGGTGGCACCAAGAGTTACCAGAGAAGCGGAGAGTGCTCTCACCCGCACAGGGGGTTCCTGAGGAGCCTCCAGGGCGGTAAGGCAGCTATAGCCAAAGCCTCATCACAGCCCTGCTGCCGCAGCAGTTCTGGTTTATCTGGGTCCAGTGGATTTTGGCACGATGTTAACTTTTCCCTTTTACTAATCTCCCTAATCCAGGAAGAAATCAAGCGAACCAAGCACGGGCGGTAACTCCTGTAATCCCACTGCAAGACCTTGCCGCTGGGTTGCTAACTCCTGGCCTCCCCGAACAGGACAGGCCGCTCCCTCCCTCCTGGGGAGAGCTTTTCCTCAGTGGAGGGGCCTGCGCTTCCCGGGAGGCCATGTCGACCCCGCCAGGGCAGGGCACGGCGGGTGGCATCGCCCGGCCCGCGCGGATGCCGCAGTTTGGGGGGAAAAAAAAAACCACCCTGACGACGAAAAATGAGTT